TGCTCCATATCTTTTTAGAGGGTGGAATTTCCCCGGGGATAGAATTACAAAAAAAGTCTAGCCTACAATTGTTTGAAATAAGTTTATATTATTTGCGTATTTAATTGCGACATTATTTTTGCCAATGCATTGTTTAATTTGATAAACTTAGTACATTAACTATTTCTATTTGGTAACATTATGTTACTAATAATACAATTCAACTTTTTATCGTATTCCATAAATTTTTTTTTTTAATATTGAAACTAGCTTATAATTTTCAAAACTTTTAAATCATTTGCTAACATCTTTTAAGGAAATCTTTGTTGCAAGCCTTAACATTTTAATAAGGTACAAAGTAGGCGCTTTTTATCCCTTAACTTAAATGGAACTAAGTTTTCGATTTTGGCAACCTGGTTAATAATACTGATTCATGGTGCAAATAAACCAGGTATATTTATATATTAGTGGTTAGAGAGCTTGCTTTATAAGCCGGGGATCTGGGTTTGAAATGAGCCTTTAATATATTTATCGTCACAGTAAGAAAGGGCGCGTGAACTTCCTGATTAAATCCATTTCCGCGGTGCTCTGTGACAAGACCGTTAGGATTTCTTAGGGCACATAAATAACAAAATTTGATTGCGATTCAATAAATATTTTAAATTTTGATTGCGTACATGCCACTAGCTGAACTAAAATTAATGTCATTGTTGTTTTACATAGCCCATAGATTAGTAAAAAATTTTTTAAAACGTCCATAAATTCAAATAAATGTCATTAAGTAAAATTTAATGAGGTTCGCAGTCAGCTAAAGTTTGAAGTTGGCTGGCCGTATATATACTACTTACTTCCTTTTCAGCTTAAGTCCTCTTCGTCTTTTTAATATTTCACTACAGATCTCTCGTATAAACTATATATTCAGTCCATGGGAAAGTCACTAGTAATACCTACTATGACCGGACCCGGGTCTTGTTAAGTCTGTTCAACATAGAACAATTCTAAATTATTTGTTTGGCCTGTTTATTTCATTAATTTTTAGTAAACGGTCATTTGCTATCATTTACTAAAAATTCCTTTTGTTACTCAAAATTTAATTTCCTAAATATTTTAACACAAGTAAAGAGGTTCCTCCCCTTTTTTTGCTTTAATGGTGGCCTGGTGAGTAGGGTTTTTTTTATTAAGAGTAATCAAGTTTTTCTTTAACTAAAATAATAAAAATGTAAAACACTGATTTACATTTTTATTTACAAACATTTATTCTTTCCCCAAAAGTGTTGCAAATGCAGACTAAGCTAACTAATTAGTTAAATATGTAAATAAAACATAAGTAAATCAATATTTGACAAATGCGCAAAACTATAGTATTCTCCATGTTTTTAAAAGTTTTTAGTTACGACCCCCCCCCTTTACAAAGATCCCCTAAGATACGTACAACAAATTATTAGGCATAAAATTTAAAAAAAAAAAACTGAACTAATTGCATATATTTACATCTTTTTACCTAACAAAAACTTACAAAAGGAAATCAGGTTTTTTTTATAAATCTTATAAATGTGTCATAACGTAAATCTAAAATAAAAAGTAATGGAATTACATCATAATTACAAAAAAAAACACCAAATTTCAAAATAAGTAACTATAAATTGGTAAATCGATTTCATAAAAATTGAAAATCGATTTACCTATTTATAGTTACTTTAATTGCAATTAATATAAACTTTTATCAAAAATGTAAGTATAAAATCTGTTTTGAAGTACAAAAGGATTAACAAAAAAAAAAAAAAATCAAACTAAGATTTAAATTGCACTTTTAGCAAAATGTTGTCTTTGTTATTAGTAAATAAATAAAAGCAGTAAATTCCAATAATGAAACTTACATTACAGCAATAACACATAGCAATAAAATCCAGTGAAAATAACAAACTAAATTAAAATATGAAAGGCAAAATTAAAAAAATATTTTAGAGTTATATTTATCTTTTTATTAAACTTTAAATAAGGTATATTTGTTTTTATATTCAACATTAGTTATTCAATTATTTCAAATTTAGGACATTAAAGCACGCTAGATTTAAAGATTTAGGTTGCATACTCTCTCATACACATTACGCTAAACATTAACAGACATTATTATGTGTTTTCAGAATAATTTAAAAAGGCTAGACAACACAACCTAGCTCTAAAGCAGTAACACTGCCTAGCATTAAATGCTGCTAAGTCACACCTCTGCTATAAGTACACCTCTTGGCTGGCAAGGTTATCAAACTTGCTCAACATAATACCAAGCCACACCACTTTGAAAACATAGAAACAACTCAATATAAACATATATACAGCTATAAACAAATATGACTTTATATAAGACATATAAGCACATTTTATATTAAATGACAGATATATTTATCAAAAACTATGGAAAAAAAAAATAATAATAATAAATAAAGTTACACATGCTCACAACCTTTAACAGTAAATTTTCGAAATAAAAATCTTATAAATGGTCATTATCAATTGTAGTATTGAAAAATGCGCAAGAGCTCAGTAATTACACGAGTTTTATCAATTCTCCCTGTACTTACTGTCATTTAAGTCTCATCTAAGATAGAGAGGAGTTTCAAAATCAGCATGTTAAAAAAAGTAAAAAAGATATGCAATAAAAAACAGTAACTGATTTTATGCTACCAATAAACAAAATTATTTTTACCTGAATTAAAAGTTAATTTTCAGCATTGCTTAATTAAGATTCAGCTTCTCTATAACTATTGACTAATGATTAATAAAGTAAATTTCACATCATATTAAATTTACAAAATTAAAACCATGTTTCAACAGTAAGCAAAATAATCAAGTGATGATAAAGGCAACTAAAAAAAAAAAGAACAAAATTATGTTTGGAAAAAAAAAAAAAAAAAAAATTAAAACCATTTAAAATTGAAACTGTTATTAATTGTTACTATAAATAGTAAAATTCATACCTTGCTTTATTCTTAAGTGTCTAATGTAAAATCAAATTAATAGACATCAACACCGCTTGACAATGAATTCTGGCAAGTAAGTTTTCTGTTCATCGAGCAGAATTTCTTACATTTCGACGACAATTAATTTTATCAGGCCTAAATCTATCTCTTTTATTTGACAACAATTTTTCAAGTCACCTATTACCATTTACACTAAAAACATCTTCGAGCCTAATATTATACATCTGTTATCATTAAACACATTACCAGTGATTATACTACTGTTACAAATGAATAAATGAACGTAAAATAATTTTACAAATTGTGATCTTTTCTAATCAAAGACTTTTATTTTAAATTAAGATTTATTGATATTCATATATTTTTATAAGTTTATATAAAGAAGTTGTTCATTAAAAATATAAAACAAAATTTTTTTACATTATTTTTAACTTAACAAAGAATTTAGACTACAATGCACAAAGTTATTTTTACCTTCAGACACAATCTTAATGCACAAAAATAATAAATGCAGAACCTTTTATAAAAAAAGAAGCAATGTCAGTCTAAAGTAATATATGTATGTGTGTATATATATATATATATATAATATATATATATATATATATATATATATATATATATATATATATATTCAAATTTTTTTTTTTCTTTTTTATTTAAGATAATATTTATATAGATAGAGAAATATAAAATATACTGAAACATAGGCACATTTATGTATATAAACTTACCTGTCAAACAAATTACAGTCAGCTTTCCATGTTAAATACATAAAATATATCTAATATAAAATAAATTCAATAAAAAATAAAACAAAGTATTAAACTTACTCAAATCAGTAACAATTCAACTGTCTAAAAATTTTTATTATTATTAATCCTTCTATTTAAAAAACAAACAAACAATTGATTTGAAGTGACTAAAAAGCACTTCAGCTCTTTCTAATTGCACTAAAAAAAAGAACAAATCTTGCTTCTCTAAGTTGCCTAGTTCTTAGGAATCCGAAAACAAATAAGTAAAAAACGAAAAACAAACAAACATTTATTTTTTTAAACTACTCTATTTAAACAAATAAAATTAAACAGATTAATTCTCCTTGAAAGCTGAAAAACTTTTCAGCTCTAATTTACTGGCAGACCTTGCTTGTAAAACACTTGAATAAGAAAAGCATTTAAAAAAGCCTAGAAACTACTTAAAAAAGGTATATGCAACATTGAACTTTAAATGTTGACTGGACTAATTACCAGCAGATATTTGTAAAAAATTCATAAAAATTTATAATGATTTGTTCTTCTATAACAAATAAATACACCATATGATAAATCTGAAGTTAAAAAATGTAACGAATAAGTAAATACAAACAAAAACATAATACATGATTTGAAAATCAATGTACCTGATAGAGATAAGCTGTTGTGATACCTGAATTATAGTTGTTAAATATTTTTATTTCATGATGAACAAAATGTATTTATAGCGAAATGATGTCTTGAATGACTTTTAGTAAATAAATAAAAGCAGTGGGTCCTAGTAATGAAACTACCTATTAATCATTTTTAAACAACAGACACCAACATAAAGATAAGCCAAAGGTGACAACATTAAGCAAAAAATTATCAAAGATAATGTTATGTATTTTTTAGTATAGTTATATTAAAGGCTAGACAAAACTTAGACCTAAAGCAGTAACATTGCTTGAATGGTAAGGTTGACAAATATTGCTCTACAAGTTTGCCAAGTTACACCACTTTGAAATCATGGAAACAACATTATAAACATATAAATATATAAAGAATATTTTTTAATTTTCCTATTCCTGATAATTTTTCTTAAGAGAAAACATACATATAGATATAGAGAAATATAAAATAAACTGAATCATTTTGATTTAAAAAGATCGATTGATGTAAAAAGAATTTAAAAACACATAAATAAAAATAACATTTTAAAAACAAAAATTCCTTACTTATATTAGATATAAATAATAAATAACTGACAATAACATAAAAATTTACTTAAAGTTATTTGGAAATAAGTTTAAAAAAAACAATAACTCAAAAAATATATTATAGACTTAAACCTTATACTAAATAAACAAATAATTTCCTAATCACATAAACTGTTATTATTTTGTAGTAACATCTTTACTTACATTAAGATTCTTTAAACAACACAAGTTTCGAACGTCTTTATACTTAAGTAATAAGTATCCTAAAAAAAAGCCAATAACTTTGTACAGCGATAATATTCCCATTGATAGTGCTCAAAAACAGACTATTAGGTTTTATTAGGGCTTACGAATAAAAAGAGAGTGGAATAAGCCTACAATAAAAACAATTTAAAAAAAGCCTTAATTTGAAACTCTTTCTCGTTATCTCCTAATATTGTCCATATAGGTCACACCAAAGGGAGCTTTTTTCTATATTAATGTATTGATCTTATGTGACAATCTTTCCTCTTAAGTGATTTAATTGCTCAATTTGCTGATGATACAATTATATACTCCAGTTTTTATAAAAATCATAAATATTTGAACCACTTATTTAAAGTCATCCTTAAATGCCAACACTCTTCTTCATTTCCAGTAACATCTGCGGTATCTCAAGGTTTTATCCTTAATCCTGTTTTGTTTCTTATCTATATTAGTGATCTTCCTGGCAACCTTACATCTAAAGTGGCTTTATTTGCTGGTGACTCAACTTTATACTACTGCCTTGACAAAAATTCAATCTTGAATCTGATCTAACTTCTGTAACAGATTGAGGCTTGCATGGCTTGTGAATTTTAACTTCAACCAAACTTAGTTATTTACTACAAATAACTATATTATACAAATAGCAATACTGTTGACATTCCTATATTGATAAATAGCAAGCTCTTCACTGAGTCCTCTTCTCGGATTATCATTCACTTATGACCCTTCATGGAAACCATATATACAATTGATTGCTAAATGCAAATGCAAAAAAATAAAGCAGCTGCTAAAGTTGCTTCTTTTTATCATGCTTGCCATTTTCTTACTCCCGATTTCATTTCTACCTCTGCTAACCTCTTTTTTGCCCCTGTTTGGAATAATGTTGTCATATTTAGACTGGTTCTTCCAAAGATGCTCTTAGTTCTCAAGATAAGGTCCAAATATGCATTGTAAATGTAGTTGTGTAGTACCTGCTCTATCTGTCAAGCTAGAGCCTCTCTTTCAACGTCGTCAAGTTGCATCTCTATTCTACAAATACTAACATGGTCCCTACTTAAAGGAGCTTTCACCTCTAGTTCCATAAACTCATTTTTGCTTGACTTGTCATTTAGCAAAGTCTCACTTCTTTACTGTATCTGTCCCTGTATGCCATAAAATTTTTTATTTGTTTAGTTTTTTCCCCTTAATTGAACCCTTTGGAACTTTCTACCGTGATCATGTTTTTCTAACTCATACAGCCTACAAATTTTCAATTCTTGTGTCAACCAAATTGTTACTCTTTAACTCTATTCTTTATTTTCTAATAACTTAACAGTTATTAGAACTTTAAAATAACAAAAATGTGTCAACTCTGAATGTAACAAATACATTATAAACAAATTTAAAATAACAAAAATGTGTCAACTCTGAATGTAACAAATACATTATAAACATTTGCAGCCACTTGTTAAAAGAACACACAAGACTTATTTGGTGTACAACTTATATAATTAGACACCAAAAGCATATGAATACAAATAATTTTATTTGATAGAAAAAACTTTTTATTTGATCTTATTGGACACACATTATTTTGAAATATTTCTTTTAAGGCAATGATCTTTAATCTTCTTTGCATTTTATCAACACTTTTAAGAAGGCCAGAATTGTATAAAAGCTGGCATACCAAATAAAGATAGATGGATACCAAAAGGTAGATAGGTGCTAATGGTAGAAAGATATCACAACAAAGTAATACAAAAAAAAATCTTGAAAAATCATCAACGAATTCATCAAAGCTAAATTCTTTAAACTTTTTCTTGAAATCAATTACTGAAATGGCATTGACAACTTTTCTATGCAAACAATTACACTTTTTAACTACAGTGGGTTGCCAAATTATGAGGGACACTTTACTTTTTAAGTAATTTTAAAGAACAAATTACTTTAATGAATTAATATGTATCTTATTGTTATTTTTTTTAATTGTTTTTATTGGTAGAGAGTTTTATTTAGAATATAAAACAACATAATTACTTATTCATTGCTATTTATTTTTTTATAAAAAGTTTGAAAACATGACAAATAAGGTAATAATCCTAATATTTTGTAATGTCACCCTTAGCTACAATAACAGCTTTCAGGCATCTGGGCATGCTATCTATGTAGACTTCTGCATTGTGTTGGAGACTGAGGTTGCTATTCCACTCTCTTATAAGGGTTTCTATCAATTGCTGCTTGGTAGTGATAATTTTTTTTGGCAATTTTCTGTTTTATGAACTGTCATAAATTTTCTATAGGGTTAATATCAGGTGAATTCCCTGGCCATGGCAAAACATGTACTTTTTTTTCAGTTAGGAATGCTGTAACACTAACAGGATGTTGAACCTTTTCCGAAAGGCAGTCCTATTGAAATTTTTTTCTGGCATCGTCGAACAAACGAGCTTTTGTCCATCAAAATTTGAAATGCTGATTGGCCCAAGAAGCAGACCTGTAAAACGTTTTAAAGATATTTGACCTGCAAAATATATCAAAGATATTTCAAAAATAAATATTTATCCTTAAATTTTTCTGGTTTCTTACAATATTATAAATTATATTTACTATACTCCAGTCTTCAATAGTCATATTCTGGTGTTTTCTAGCCCATTCCAGTCGCTTTTTTTTCATGGCTTCAGTTAAACATTCTTTTTTTGGTTGGACGATAGCACACTATATTCTCTTCAACCAACCGTCCCTGAACCGTCCTTTTGGAGACATTAATTCCTTCATTGTTTATAATTATAGCTAGTTGAGCCACACTTTTTTTTTCTGTTTTTAAGACAGATGTCTTTAAATTTACGGTCATAACATGGAGTAGTGATCCTTTACTGCCACTTTTGCTGACATGGTCTGGTTCTAGAGTCACATTTGTACCATTTTTTTTTAAATTCGACTCACTACTGACTTTGAAACGCTTGCAACCTCTCTCTGAGAATGTGTAGAATGAAGAAGTAAGGTTTTTACTTTTCTGTTTTTTTTTTTGGGGTTAAGTCTGGAGACTAAAAAAATTAACGAGAGGTAAGAATAGTTGTATGTCAGGGATTTATGCATTAAAAGTAGCAAAAATACTAAATTAATAACTAAACTAATTGAACTATTAACGAATATTTAGGTTTCAATAGTTTTAAACTCAAAAAACTTGCAAAAAATTGTTCCAAAAATAATTAACTGAAATCAATTTTGAATTTTTGACTTTCAACCACACTTTTCAAAAATTGACAGCTAATTGAGTAATAACCTAACTTTTTGACAGATCGGGTTATCACAAATTGCCACAGTTTAAAAACAACTATAGTTATATTAGTGACTAAAATACACTCAAAACTTTTTATTTAAAAAAAATTATTTGCTTGCAAAAATCATTTAAACTTTAAAATTACTTAAAAAGTGAAGTGTCCCAAATAATTTGGCAACCCACTGTATATGGTTTGTAAAAAAATTGGTCTCAACAAAAAGTTTTTAACAAAATGTCTTCTTGACCTTTGATTGTGGCCTCTGTAAGCCTACCCAATACTTGTGGAACACAGTTCTAATTGATAATATCATGGTTGTTTATAAGTTCAAACATTTTAATGAGACCGCTGTTTTCTCTTCTATTTGATAGATTTTGTAAGCCCATTTCTTTTAATCTTTGCTCGTAACTTGCTCCCTTTCTTTTGTAGCCAATTTTTGCGGATTTTTGTTGGACTTTTTCGATAAAATTTATATCTTTATTAAAATATGAATTCCATATTTAAGATGCATATTCCAAGAAGTATTTGAAATTTTTGAAAATATTTTGAAAATTTAGAAAATAACTCAATTAGAAAAAAAATAAATAAATCACTCTACACAGTTTGATCTTGACATCTTATTTAACTGGAAAAAAAAAAGGCTAATCAGTTTTAATAAGGATAAATGTGAAATCATGCAATTTGATCTAAAATAAAGTACACTTTAATATATATAATGATACCGAAACAGATATCATTTTATTTTACAATAGTACAAGCTTCCTTCTTCCTACTTCCAATGAGATATTTTATTGATTGCTAGTAAAAATGATTGATAGATCAGTTCTCTTCATTAATACACTTAATAGCTTCAGCAGACTGTGAAAATCAGTGGCGAGTTTTAGAGTGGGCATGGGGGTAGTTGCCCCACCCCCCATTGGGATTGACTATTATAGGTAATTGACTATTATAGGTAATTATACATATATGAACTTGATTATTACACTAAAGTACAAAAAGTTAAAGAAAGTCACTTTTAAGTGAAAAAAGGCGGACCTTTTTTTTTAAAAACCATTTTAGCCACCTCCTTGGTGAGTGACAAAACCCACCCCTGGTAAAAATATTGAAGTTTGTATGAACAATATTACATATATTAGGAATAGTACAAGAACATACCAAGTATATAACAAAACCATCAGTAGGAGCAGGCATTTAAATTTAAGGCCTTAAGTAATCTGGATCAAGATACTAAATATGATATACTAAATATACTGAACACAAGAAAGTTTATACATATTTTAAACAATATTAAATCTAAAGTTCCTAAACAACAGCAATAAAAATAGCAATTAAGATTTACTACAATCTTATTGTTGTTGGTTTAAATAAATGGAAACATATTAATATAAATGTTAAAATTTAATAAATGTTATATGACAAAACAAGTTAAATAACATGTTTGAAATAATAAACTAACTTTAAAATGTTTAAAACAGGCAAACAAGAAATGAAAATTAATTTGGATAACTCTTTAATGTTTTTTTTCTTTTAAAATCTATTGTTTAACTTTATCTACACAAAAAAGAAAAAAGAAATCTTACATCTCTAGTAAAATGACCAGTATAAGAACTTTTTGAAGGAAAGCAAACTGGAAACACTCTTTCCCTTACTACTTTATTTCTTGACAAAGCATCTTTAATACGGTTTGAGAATTGCACTCTTCTAAATTTAGTATCCTCAGCAATCTAAAACAAAGTTTATTTTAAAAAGAATTAGCATAAATTAATTGGTTATATTTTAAGTTGATGCATGTATGTCTTGAATAGTTAATATAGGACTGACTTAAATCTCATTTCAATAATATAAATTAAACAAACAATGAAATAAAACCTTAAAACTTGGGAACTTTTAAACTTTCTAAATTTTTATTTGAAAATTACAGTTAAATTTTTAGGTGACCAAGAAATTTAAATATAGCAAATAGCTTTTTGAAAAACTGTGATCTGATACCTATTAAGAAAATTAGACAAAAGAACAAAAATAAAAGGTTTAGACATATAATCATTAAATACAGGAGCTATTTTAGAAACAAATTGATAAAGAAAAACATATTATAATAATAAATGAATTTTATAAAATTCTTTAGAAGAGGCTTTTCTATCATTCCGTGCATACAATCAAGCACTTTACATCCTAAAACCATAAAGGGAGTACCATTAAATGATATTGAATCATCTTATTTTGTGGTGTTTTGCAGAAGAATCTTTAAAGATAACAACAACAACAAAAATTTTAAATAATAACTATACAAATATAAAAGAAAATTAAAATTTAGCAATTGCATTTTAAAAACACTTAATTAAAATTGTCTTACCATTTTTCCAGTTTTTAGCAGCACTAATAGTGCTGCTAAAGGAAAGGAAAGAAGGAAGTTGGGTTACTGTAGAAACATATGTTGAAGTACTTTTTTTGATACATAGCTACGAAACAGAGGCTGTATCAAAGTTTTCATGGCATGAAAACTTTGATACACTATAGCATGAATCATGCTATAGTGCCACTAAAGCATGAAAACTTTGATACAGCCTCTGTTTCGTAGCTATGTATCAAAAAAAGTACTTCAATGTATGTTTCTACAGTAACCCAACTTCCTTCTTGAGAAATAACAACTAAAAAATTTAAACATACAAAAATTAAACCATACAAACGTGGAAATTGATACTTCATTTAAAGCGTGCTTGTAGAGGAAATTCCTTTTTAGACAAAATATTTTAAATTATGAATATAAAAAGCTTATATTATATTACTCGTTTAAAAACATTCGGAATGTTTTAAAATTTTTAAATTTCTCAGGGATGTCATTTCTGAGAAATGTTTTTTAAACGAGTAGTAAAACAAACATCAACTTAAGCTTTTTATATTCAAAATTTAAAATATTTTGTCTAAAAAAGTTAAAATGTATTACCTCTACTCAATGTTGTTTTTTCTAATAAATTTAAATTATTATTATCTATAATAATAATTTTTTTACCAATTTAAATTTAATCTTCGACGATAACCAGGTGAAAACGTGCTCCACATTCAAAGAGTATTAATTATTTCATAAATTAAATTATAAATGCAAAAATTAATTGGTTAGCGTTCTTTAGGATGATCCAAAATAAGGTTTTGAATTTTCAAAAAAACGCAGACCCAGAATGGATTGAGTGGCTATTACGCATGCGTTCAAATTATAAACCTTATTCTGGATCATCCACTCTGAATTTGTTTTAAAGAAGCTTCGCTTATGGAATTACTCAACTCAAAGTTTGTATAATAATAATTCCATAAGCGAAGCTTCTTTATTAACAAATTCAGCGTGGATGATCCAGAATAAGGTTTATAATTTGAACGCATGCGTAATAGCCACTCAATCCGTTCTAGGTCTGCGTTTTTTTGAAAATTCAAAACCTTATTTTGGATCATCCTAAAGAACGCTAACCATATATCATCGGTTATATATGATCTGAGATAAGATCCCTGTTTTGATTGGACAAAAAACTAGTTACAAACAGTCCTCAATCTAAAATATCCAGTCTCCAATATATCATATGCGCTTTACTAATAATTCATATACAACTCCTAAAATCAAGTTAAATTTTTCGTCCAATCAAAACAGGGATTTGATCTCAGGAAATAGCCGCTCGTAAATTCTGGTGTATTTGGCATGTTGATAAGGTAAGTACATGATTCCATAGCGTAAAGTTAGGTCCCGTAAAATGTTCCGCAATTGTCCCGCTTCACGTCCAGGACAGAGTTAACATAATTAATTTGGTTAGCGTTCTTTAGGATGATCCAAAATAAGGTTTTGAATTTTCAAAAAAACGCAGACCTAGAACGGATTGAGTGGCTATTACGCATGCGTTCAAATTATAAACCTTATTCTGGATCATCCACGCTGAATTTGTTAATAAAGAAGCTTCGCTTATGGAATTATTATTATACAAACTTTGAGGAATTGAAGTAGAATAATAAAGTTATACAATTATTAAAAGAAATATGTTGTGCAATTGAATTCTCTAAATCGAGTTGTTGTAAAAATGTTTGGTTGTTTATTTGGTATTTACTTATGGTATTTATGTTAATATGGTACTCTGGTAATTATTATTACTATTGTTATTATGGTACTATAGCAATTAGTTTGGTGAATGTTTTTAATAGGGATCGAATTATCAAATCACCAAGTCATTATATTAGTAGAGATATATAAAGATTAAAACATATATATGTATATATATATATATATATATATATATATATATATATATATATATATATATATATATATATATATATATATATATATAATATATATATATATATATATAAATTATATAATATTATATATGATATTATATATATATATATATATATATATATATATATATATATATATATATATATATATATATATATATATATAAATATATATATATATATATATATAAATTATATAATATTATATATGATATTATATATATATATATATATATATATATATATATATATATATATATATAAATATATATATATATATAAATTATATAATATTATATATGATATTATATATATATATATATATATATATATATATATATATATATATATATATATATATATAAATTATATAATATTATATATGATATTATATATATATATATATATATATATATATATATATATATATATATATATATATATATAATATTATATATATAATTTATATAATATTATATATAATATTATATATGATGTTATATATATATATATATATATATATATATATATATATATATATATATATATATATATATATATATATATATATATAATTTATATAATATTATATATAATATTATATATGATGTTATATATATATATATATATATATATATATATATATATATATATATATATATATATATATATATATACATATATATATATATATATATATATATATATATATATATATATATATATTTATTTATATATATTTTGCTATTGTTTTGCAGTGGAAGCTATTAAAGTTAGTTTTAATAGAAGGAAGAAATATTTTATATAAGTGCAAGGGAGTGCTAGATAAGTTATAATATTTAGACAGATGTCCAGTATTGAGAAGTAGTGTATGAAAGGGGAGTTTTATTTAATGATTAAGTGTTGTTTCAATGTTATGTAAGTTGTGTTAGTTAATATGTTTTGTGTTTGTAGTGTTCTAAATGTTATAGTTTTATATGTTATTTAATGTCTTTATTAGTATGAATCTGCATGTTTGTAAATACTTTTTGTTTTGAATGCAATGCATCTTATTAGAACTGCACTGAGCAGTGAGCGCTTTAGAGATGCATAACAAGTTAAAAGTGTGTAGCAAATTGAGATAAAAGTACACAAGGACTGATGTCCGTTGAAATAAAGTGCCTCTAAGAAGAGAAATAATGAAAATTAGTCATAGTTATATGTAGTTAATATAAACAGAAATAATAAACCATAGCCAAGGAAAGTACATGTAATTAATTATTTTGATAATGAAAGGTTATAGTAGAGTTACTGTAGAGCATAAATGTGATGCATAAAGTGTCTGCCATGGAGCATGGATACCATTTGTTTTATGTTATTAGCAAAGTAAACAAACATTATAAATGTGCATCATTGATGCCTCATAGTATGAATTCTGTGATCTGATGTGGTTTATGGTCTGGTTCAAAATGGTAATATTGATATGTTTAGAAAAAGTTGCTTGTGTTATGTATAATTTCCATTTAGTTAATATGTTTTAATTTAGTTCTTTGTTTTATATTTATTGTGAAGCCGTGAACCTTAGTCATATGCGGACAAATAGGAACAATGTTTTTATATATATATACATACGTGGCGATATTAAAATGTATAATAAAGATGGCTTACTTATAAGAATAAATATATTTAAATATAGCACAGTGTTTTATTATCGACACAACAATGGCGCTACGAGTAGGATCCGATTTGACTTTAGATGATCCAGACAATGCAGAAGCATGGATTAGATGCTTTTCAGCATCCGCACGTTCAAAGAAATTAAAAGATGAGATAAATGGTAGCTATGAGATAACAGATTTATGGCAAAAGCAGGCATTGAAGCAATTACAAAGATTTCTCTTATGGTTTATCCAGAAGAATTAGAAAATATAATGTTCAATGATATTAAAACTGTTGTTATGTCCTGTTTGAGGCCTCTAAAACGACTAATTATTGCTGAAAGAGTTCAATTTTTAACATTAAAACAGCAAAACAATATAAACATCGTATCATATGCACAAAGATTACGCGGAGCTTCATGCTTTTGCAACTTCGAAAAATTGGCCAAAGCGACGGAAGATGATTTGATTCAAATGAGATTGGTTGATGGCCTCCAATCTTTTGATCAGAGAGTTAAAGCTCTAGAAATGATACAGAGTGGAGAATCGCCTAAACTAGGAGCATGTATTGATTTTATCAGGCAACTGGAGCAAATATTCTGTTTTAGTATACAAAACAACATTGAAAACAGCATAGACCTTCCTTCAGTTAATTACATTGATAAAAATAAAGAAAGAACAATTAAATGCAAGTTTTGTGGCCTTCAACACCCACCTAGGAAATGCCCAGCATTTGGGAAGAGTTGTAAAAAATGTGGGAAGCTGAACCACTTTAAAAACGTATGCAAAGCAAACATTAAATATGAAAAAGTAGTAGAGGAAATAGAGAATGATGATGCTAGTGTGTATTCCATTAACATGAATGATAAAAACTCAGAGATTAGTGTAAAAATTAATGACTACAATATAAAAATGCAAGTTGACACCAGAAGTCAAGTCACAATTATTCCAAAGAATTTTTGGGAACTAATGTCTAAACTGAAATTACAAAAATGCTACCTTCGCCTGAAACAGTTTGATGGTACAGTTATAAAAGTCCTAGGTAAATTTGAGGCAACTTTGGAAACCGAATCAAAAATGAATATCGTACGAATTATTGTTGTAGACTGTACAAAAAATCATGGTCTAATTGGTATGGATGTATTAAATATCAACGCCACAAAATTAGTTAATAGTATGGAACCTATCGTTCAGGGCCGTTTAATTAATTACAAAGCAAATATTATGTTAAAAAAACAACACACAACCCACTTATTTTGAATCTCGACCTCTTCCTATTCACATAAGACCACTAGTGGTAGATAAACTTATTGGAATCATACAGCAAGGGTTGCTTCAAAGGGTTCCTCCTGGTGGAAGCAGATGGGTTTCACCACTTTTGGTTGTTAGAAAAACAGACGAAGATTTGCGCATTTGTGCGAATTACAAAATAGGTGTTAACCAAAAAATATGCTCAGACTCATATCCTATCCCAAACATTGAGAACGTATTTTATAAATTGGCAGGGATGAAATATTTTGCTAAAATTGATCTCAAGGGAGCTTATCATCAAATTGAGATGGACAAAGAGGCACAAGAAATAACGACAGTTAATACCCCTATTGGATTATTAAGATGGACTTGTTTACCTTATGGAATAAAGACTGCAAGTGTGATATTTCAAAGAGCGATTGAATCTGTTGTTGGCGATATTATTCCCAATACGATTATATTTCAAGATGATATATCTGTCAGTGCTAAAAATGCTGAAGAACTCAAATCGAATTTGAATAAAATATTGAGCAAATTGAAGGAATCGGAAATGAGCATAAATAAAAGAAAGTCATTGAATGAAACATAAAGCCTTTCATTTTTAGGATATGAACTGTCAGAAAAGGGAGTTACCCCAGATCGTAATTTAGTCAGCAAAATACTCGGAATAAATCCTCTTAATGATAAAAAGGAACTCAAGTCATTTATAGGATTAATAAACTTTTATGGTCGACACATTGATAAATATGCTGAAAAAATTTTACCTTTAAACAATTTAAGAAAGAAAGGAGTTATTCGAATGGAGGAAAGAGCATCAACAGGCATTTGAATTTGCTAAAAAGAAACCTTTGTGAAGAACCCGTAGTAAAAGTTTATGACATCAACCAAGATCTAGAGTTAACAACAGATGCTAGTGAGAAAGCTATATATGGAATACTTTCACAGAATGGCCATCCGGTATTGTATCTCTCGCGAACTTTATCAGACGCTGAGACAAGATATTCTAATATTGAGAGAGAAGCGTTAGCTATTGTATGGTCTGCTCACAGAGCTAAGCATTTTTTGTTGGGTAGAAAATTCAAATTAATATCAGATTACAGGCCATTAGAATTTATATTTGATAGCAACAAAGAATTGCCCTAAGTCACATCCGCTAGAATTTTAAGATGGGTCATACAAATGATGGCATTTGACTACGAAATAAGCTACAAAAAGTAAGAAAACATTCCTCATGCTGACGCATTATTGAGATTGTCCTTTCTACCACAAGATGAAGAGAAGGACCAAGAAACATTCATACACTTAGTCTAGTCAGATATCGTGAACCTTGAGCAAATAATAAAAGAAACAAAAAATGATAGGGTATTGATGGATATCAAAACCAGAATTAGCAAATATAATTGGAGCAGATGCTCGGTAACAGAAAGACCCTATAAATCTATTAGGAATAAACTGACTATCGAGAAAGGAATTGTATGTAATGGTGATCTTATTGTACCTCCTAAGACAATGAGAAAGATCTTCATCAAATCGATCCATGATGATATACATTGTGGCATAATGCAAACGCGATGTAGATTAAAATTGGAAGTCTGTTGGCCTGGCTACTGTCAAGATGTTGAAGAATATGTGAAAAACTGTGAAAAATGTGCCGAAATAAAAGTGAAGAAGGAAAAGACATTACATACATGGCTAAGTGAAAATAAACCTCGGTGTAGAGTACATATGGATCATGCACATGTACAGGGTATCGTACTGTTTTTGATTTTAGTGGATTCTTTTTCTGGATGGCTGGAAGTTATTAAGGTAAATAACTGTGAAGCGGCTACTGTAAAGGCAGTACTACAAAGTGTTTTTTCAAGAAATGGAGTTCCAGAGGTTTTAGTATCCGACAATGCTGCGGAATTTCATGATACCACCTTACACCAGTGACTAAAGAAAATCGGTTGCGTGCCTTATAAGACTCCACCTTACCACCCTCAACCTAATGGAGCAGCTGAAAGAATGGTAGAGACAGTCAAGATGGGTTTAAGAGCTTATTCACTAGACAAAGGTTTATTATGCGGATATTTAAGCTTTTAAGTTACAGAACAATACCTCATGCAGGAAGATCAAGGAGTCCTTCCGAGATGATGGGAAGGCAGTCGAGATCCCCTCTCACCATGAGTTTCGAAAGTGGAACACCATTATGATACCGCCAAAGTTCAGATTCCAAACCTGAACCTGCTTCATTCATCTCTCAGGCAGGTCTAAACACTGCAATCATATTAAGGAATAATTCTTCGGGTACATTAGCACACTGTGACCAAATAAACAAACGCCTAAATGAGCTTAGTATACTTATGAAGACAGTATGCGGTATGATCATATCAATAATGAGAAAATCGATCCTTGCAATAGTGATAAATCTGATATGCCCAAACTACGTGTTACTAAAGGAGAGCCTAACCAGGATCGAAGAAATACACGGTCGACAAGGGGGCAAAAGCCAATACGTTTCAGGGATGTGAAGCCCTGAACCTTAGTCATATGCGGACAAATAGAAACAATGTTTTTATATATATATATATATATATTTTTATATATATATATATATATATATATATATATATATATATATATATATATATATATATATATATATATACATACGTGGCGATATTAAAATGTATAATAAAGATGGCTTATAAGAATATATATATTTAAATATAGTACAGTGTTTTAATAACGACACAACATTTATATTAAGACTAACTTTTGTGTATTTAAATTCAAATGTATAGTGTAATTTTAAACTTAGAATATATAATATTTCTACTTATTTATAAGGTCTATTTGTCATACTAGTTTTATATTCAGTTTATATGCTAAATAATATATACATTTTAGTATAGTTTTTCTTTTAGTATTTAGTTTAAAATAATGTGGTATACTGTAAGTATTCCTTTTATATTAAATTTATTTTAATCTTGTACGATTTAGTGATGGGATTGTTTAAATTTAATTAATATAGTTAAATGGAAATAATAATCGTTTTAAAGTTAATTTACTCTAAATGGTCAAATAAAAATATTTGTTTTGTATGTTTATTTTATATGTTTATATGTTATATATTATATTTATATGTTTATTTTTTATTTGGTTTTAATTACATTGAACAGTTCAGTCCGATGCATTTTGTCTGAAATTAGTTTCTATAATTTGAATGCTTAAGACCCATAGCAGGCCTTGTTTTAAATTTAAAAAATGCTTAATGCATAGCTTAACGCGATATTTGCCAACATAAAATTCTGTTAATTTTTTTTAGACATTTTTTTTAAATTACTGCAATAATTTTAATTACCTTAAAACAAATTAAATGTTATTTATCAGCTCTTTTATTAATACTTTAATGGAATGCTTATTTTTTTAATTATTTTCAATAATTAAATTTAATATTGCATTTTTAAAAAAGTTTGATATTACCAAATTTCTTTTTTTCTCAACATTTGCATAAATGAATCGTTAAATTTAATATGTTAAATTTAATGCGGTAGTGGTGTAGTGGTAGAGCGCTCGCTTCATAAACGAGTGGTTCCGACTTCGATCCCCACCACGTCCCTGGTAGCACCGCGCTCAACTCGTTTCTCTGTGCAGCGGCCTTGTTCGTCAAGGTTCGTGTTCGTGAGTTGAAGAGTTGAGAGAGGGTTATAGCCACATATAAGTAGCCTCCTCGTCTGTAGTGGCCTTCTCGGCCTTGAGGAGGTGAATTAAAATAAAAATAAAAATGCTTTAAAACAAGGCCTTCCTACAAGATACTACACTTTAGTGTTTCCATTACCCAGCCAACAATATTTGCCTTGGTAATAGGTAATGAAAAAGTTTTATAACTTTTGGTATCTCCCAATCTATTTCTTATTTTAGTGGCAAAAAAATTCCATGCCTGAAAAAGCTCGTTCTGTCTCCACTGATGTTGGTTTCATAGTTAACAACAATTTTTAGGCCTTGCACGAGTAGCTTTAAATAAACCCATCTTTTTTTTCAAAATTTTAAATCCAATCTTATCTATGGTGATGGCTTCATGCTCTGTTTGTTAAATAAATGAAGTTTATTTGGTATTTCTTCATGGTATCTATGGTACTATGGTAATTATTATTATTATGGTACTATGTAAACTATGGTACTTTCTTGTTAATACTCCAGTGACGATGCTGTGTTACAGTTCAAAAATTACAAATGTCTGTAAATACGGGTATGTATTATACATTACAATATATGGATTGATTTTTACATGTTTTCGAGCATACCTAATTTATGAATGATTCTAAAGTCCTGGTTGCATGTATTTGAATTAGTATTTAGAAAACTAGAATTAATATATTTGTATATATATTATTCAATTTTTTATTTATGTATATGTTTTTAAGTTCTATTTTTGCCATTTCTTTTAATATACATAAACTGTTATTGGTTCTTTTATATTTTTATTAAAAGAATTTTATATTTAGCACAAGTTCAAAAATGTTTTTTTTAATTTATTAAATTTTTTTATCATTTTTATTTTAGTTCGACCTTAAAGTTCTACTCTACTTCATTATTTATGATTAGTTTGACTACTGTTGAAATATGATTTTAATTTAGTAAATTTTCGTGAACTGAAATTTACTTTATTGATTATTAGCCAACAGTTTTAGTAATAAAATTGAATTTAACACTGTCAAGGTAAGAATAACTTTGTTTTCTTGTAACACCATAAAACAGTTTTTTATGATTAATACCATGTTATTGCTAATTTGTGTAACTATACCTGAGTTGACTAAACAGCTGACATAATTCTGAAAATCTAATAGTTTGTGTACTGAGAATTGTTGAAGCACTTGGTTTATGTAATTTGGTTTTAACAATTTCCGAATATATTCTAAAATAACAAAGTTTGCGATGGATTTGGAGTAATGGTAAATGTCTAAGCCTAAAAATTGCATTACGGTACATAATCATATCTATATATTTATCATATCTATCATAAAAGCACTGAGCCTTTTTCTTGTAACTCTAGATACTTTAGGTATATTTTACTATTAATTAACAAAACTTTGTGATTTCAGTTCATGTTAAAAATGGCTTTCATCCATAATATTTTTTAGGAATTTCTTTAATTTTATTGTTTTAAAATTAGTGTTTTCCTCGTCCATAATTATACTTGGTTTCTTTTTACACAATAATTTGTAAAACTTTCCTACACAATTTCTTGCTATAAATTTTTTTCAGCATTGCGAATTGAAGCTTTAAATATCTTAAAATTATTGACTATATGGTTTTTAAATCTTAAAATTATGGACTATATGGACCTTTTCTCTAAAACTTATGCATTTTTGGGCCAAAACTGGCTCAGCCATGTGAGGATTTGCCATAGTTTTGACCAAAGCAATAATCATCTTTTTTTTTATTATTGATTTTCAAGTAGTTTCTACTTGCACACTTTCTATTTACTGTATTAAATGTTAGATGATTCTAAATATAGTTCTTTGTGAAAATTCAACTATTTTTATTTTTTTTTTTGCTTGCTTACAAGCAAAACAAATTTTAAAGCCTGGAATAGAAGTATCAACAAGTTATTTAAGTTATATTTAAATAAGTAATCAAATTTATGTAAAGGTATAATAAATGTAATGTAAATGTAATCTAATTTATAGGTATACAATAATAGGTATATAATTAGTAATTTAATTTATGTAAATGTAAAATAATTTAAATGTGTGAAATAAATAAGTAATCTTATTTATGTTAATGTCAAAAATTAATTTTAAGTAACGTTGCAATAAAATATTATTCTAAAAGAATTTTTTCATTAACATAATGTTAAAATTACATATATTAGATAATTGCGTATTTATATAAAACTTTAATAAATTTTCAATACACGTCACACAATGGGGCAAAATTGCTTCAAAACTGGTCATATGACGAAAATAAAAAAAGGCGTAATCAAACATTTTTTGATGGTAATGTCTCTGGTCCACCTTATCCATGTGTTTTTTTAGAGTAGGACCAACCTTTAACCCTGTAGAACCCATAATCTAGATCAATTAAAATTTAAAAAATAACTCGCTTGCGCGAGTTATAAGTTGTTTTTATAGTGTTAAAGCTGAAGCTTATTAAAAGTTGCAAATTTTCCTCAGGGGTTCTTCAATATTAGGTTCGCAGCTAAAAAAAATTAAGCCTCAATTTTAGGTTCGCAGGTTAGGCAGGTTTAGGCAGCTACAATTTTAGGTTTGCAGATGAAAAAATAATTTTTAAGTGCTCAAAATATATATTAACTTTGTAATATAACATTCTTTTTTTGTATACTTGTTTTAGCAATTTTAAACAAATAAAATTAATCGAGTTATTAAGGAACTTTTTTTGAGGGACATTTTACACCAAATTTAAATTACTGTAATTTATTTTAGTGAATCGACTAGAATATGTTTCAACATTATTTATTTATGCAAGCTTTTGACTTCCTTCTTTTTTATGTTATCACTAACTGGTTTTTTAAAAAACTTTACTCGAAAAGTCATTAAAGTGACTGACAGTAGTAAATAAAATTTATTTACAATTGAAAACTGTATTTTGAAAACGCCACAAAATTAAAATTTTACAGGAAAGTAAAAAATATTTCTCCTGTTAAAATTTGTATATTTTTTTTTTTGTAGCTTATATGAAGTAATAAGTGTTTCCAGCTTAAATCAGAGAAATTTTTTATCTGAAGCATCAACTTTTCCTAAAAAAATTATTTTTTTCAAATAATCTCACTTTTCAAAAAAGCGTGACTCGTCATGTTTTCGAAATACACCGTTCAATTGTTAAACTTGTTAGACTTAAAAAAATATGTGGAATAACTTTTTCAAGTCTAACAATTGCCCTTAGAATAATTATTTAACTTAAAAATCCAAAACATCAAAAATTACTTT